GTGTATGAGAATACCCACTCCCATCACAAGACAAAGTTCAAAGTTGACTTCGTAAAATTCTAGCCGCAATCAATAAATATGGGCGTGCATTGTAAAATATGATAAATATTAAATAAAAGATGGAGGAGGGTCTCATTCGAAGTGAAATTAATCACCCATTCCAAGAAGCCAGGATCATGATCCCGACACACCCTAGACCAAGAAATCATCTTTCATACCGATGTTAGAGTCTTCGCCAAAATTTGTCGAACGTTGAATGTCTACCAATTTCGCTGCAGCTACGGTAGGTAGTAACAACACCCCATGAAACGCGCCGTCATCGACATCACTTCTGCATTATTTTGATATGATTTTATTCGAATGTGACTCTTTTACATTCAAATTCAAAGAATAAAAAAATTCGATCAGACCTATAACATTTATCTTCTGTTCCCCATATTCTGTGAAAGAGTTTTTCATCTTTATTTGAAAATGGAAAACCGAAAGAGTACACACACCATGTCCAAATTGCCAGTAACATTAAATCTAATGATTACACAGGAGTAGGTCGTAATTATTTCAAAGATTACTGTATTCATTCCTTAATTTTCAATCCACTCTACCTAGTCCTTCAATACGCCCAACCTCATTTGCTGCCATTATGCGGACAACTTTTATACTAGCATATAACGCGATAAATAGAATGATTCCGCGTTCAAAAGAACTAGCTGAAGCAGGCACTGGTGGGGGAGAAGGGTTTGTCGCTCTGCCGCCGAGTTCTGCCCTAACCCCCGCCATTTCGATACCGCAGCCGAACTCACTCTCACTGGTACTACTACCTGTTGGTGAAAATGGAAAAATATTCCTTTTCCGTTTGACCAGGAAACGTTTCGAATTTGAACTCAAACCAGAAGAGGAAAAATTAAAAACCATATGTATAAAGTAAAGATACGTCCGACAAAACGACAATTGAAAAGATAAATAAACTACACGACACGATCAAAAAGTTTAAATAGAAGTGAAATTTTATAAGACGTTCCGATAATTTAATTTCTGATCGCAGTTATACAAAAGTATAGGATTCGCACATTGCTTTATCTTTTTACGTATCCTAGAAAGATCAACATATGTTAACATACGTGTCAAATTTTTATTTTCATACCACAACTTGTTTAGGAAAGATTACCCATGATGTAGTCATATCATACATAATAAGTTAACGCGAAATGTTTCATTTATTAATCTTTCGTTAGATTAGTCATACGCAAGTAAATATTTATTAAATCGTGAAAACAATTTATTATTTTGTAATAGACTTCAAGCCTAATAATTCTATAATATTTGCAAAGTAGATAAATTTTATTTTAATTATTTTTGTTAATATATTGTATTATGTGTTTTTTTAAAAAAAATTCTCTTTTTTTTATATTTTAATTACTATTTCTATTTTTTTTTGTTAAATTTTATTTGTTGTATTTTTCTTGACAAAACTATTATATTATCTAATTTATACTTTAACTATTAAAAAAGAATATCGTCTTGTATAAAAATCAAATAAAAACTTTAATATTATATATTGTTGAAATTTTTTATTTCTTACTTAACTATATAGAAATTATCTTAATCAAAATTATTTTTGTAATATGGACAATTATTCTTAAAGGTGACCAAAATATTAAATATGATTTTTTTGATTCCAGTTTTGAATAATATGTAAATTTTAAGAAAAATCCTTGTCAAACTTCCAGAATAATTATTTATATATAATAATGAATCCCTAAAATATTTAGCATATAAAATAAAAAAAAAAAACTCTTTCCGCAAATCCCTCAGATCCTTAGAAATTTTTGTTTTAGGCAATACACCCAAGGAAAGAAACAATATATATAATTCAAGACATATACTCTCACAACACCAATATACAAGAGACATCTTAACACAGAACAACACTTTGTGCATAGTTTTAGTCTGGTGATCACTGAGAAAACACAACATACAGTATATTAACAACCTTGGTCTTTTTCTCTTTTTTAAGAAGAAGGAAATAAGTCAACATAAACTGATTCACAGTTAGAAAAGGGGAACCAATATCAACTTCACAAAGCTTGCAGCCAGGTCAGTGTAGATTGACACCTTTCTTGACACTACAAGGAATCTCAAAACAA